TCCGCGAGAGATCGCGCAATTTTGTGGCTAATAAAATTGCGGTTTAACACTGGCACTGTTGCTTATAGACATTGTAGGTGGTAAACCAAGAATTACTTCGGCTCGGGATGACAACAGAATACTTTTACCAGTGCGTCGAAACAGAACTCTTTATTCTTCGCAAATAAGGATCGCGGTAGGAATTGAGGCCTCAAAATCGTCAATTTAAAGACGTCCCCATGAGAGAAATTCAAGAGCCAGAAGGCGATCAGCATGTCCATTATTAAAAGCATCCCATCGAAGAGCACGAATAAACTGGGCTAATATTCGAGCATCTACTATAAAAAAGTTGGCAACATTGCTTCAGGTAGGCTTTATGATAAATACCAAAACCACATCAAACGACTTAGAAAAGTAGGGATATTAGCTTCCGTCAGTAGTCCACCAAATACTCTTTTAAGCAGAACGAACGAAAATTCAGATGATGATGGTGAACATGATAACGAGGTGGATAATAATATAATATTGTTTTTCATTAAGATGAAAATATCAAGCTATGGCTCAAACACATTAACGGTACCTGGACTGATGTCAAGACAAAATGGGGAAGCATATTAAAAATGCGGAAAAGAGATGTTTTGAACAAAAATCCTACTGCAATAGAGGTTCTTAGCTATTGGTCTCTTTATTAACACTCCGACGGGTTTACTTTGGTAAGGTTTATAATTGAAAATATAATTTAAAAAAAAATGTTTAGGTTTGATTTGAATTCTCCTTCATAGGGAAAAGTCCTACAACCTTCTTAAGAATTTACACAGTTTCAAAGCCAAAATTTCACCAATCTTCAATGAGAAAATCAAAGACAAACAAAACGTTAATTTTCTGAAATTGCTTAAAACTGCTGCTGAAGGTTAGATATGGGTAGGTATATATTTTATTCAGTTTATTCAGTTCAGGAAAACGATGTAATAACCGAATTTTCCGATTGGAAAAAGGTACAGGAAAAAGTAAAATCTCACAAAAACAGCGTAGAGCATTGTGAAAACCTTTTAACTTGAAATACGTATTCCAAATGTTCACGAAATATTGCAATTTGAAAAAAAAAATCAAAAATAAGGAAATTGAATTTCCAAAGTAGCTTCTTTATATTACCAAGAATGGTGCGAAATTTGATGTTTAAATGTGCCTAGTTTGTTAGGAACAACGACATATACCTATATTTTAATAATCACCGCAGAGATAGCGCTAATGTCGCTATTATTTACTAACATTTTATTAAAACTTTATTCCGAGAATAAAGCCGTCTTTTCAGCTGTGTCGCATGTTTGAAAGGGTGCGCGTGTTTTATTTCGAGAACAACGTCACATTTCGAAACAGCAGCTGTTTTTGGAAAAATTATGCGAAACATTGGCATATTGCGGATTGTGACGGTTTTCCAATTCCACGTGAGTATTAAATCATTTTCGATACACAAATAATAATGTCTTATTTCAAATTAGGTAATTTTTCCTACAATAATGAATTATATTTATATTTGAGGGGTACCGGTAGCAAATAAGCAGAATGTACCATTATATAGTCAATATTGCGATTTTCCCTGCTCTGATTGGTCGAGACCAAACACTGGTATGTTTTGCCAAAAGTGACTAAAACGCGGTACATTTTGCCATAGCATCTTCCGCAAAGCTCGGTCGGATCAAACGCAGGTACGTTTGGCCAAACTTCACCTAAACGTGGTGCATTATGGCATGACCAATTTTTAATATATCCATACTTTTATAAAATAAGTAGATGTTTTTTCATCTTATGATGGTTCTGAAATTACGATCTAATATTAAATAGGATTATTCTTTGAGCTGTTCAACAAGTTACAGGATACAATGTGTTAAAATTTGCAAAATTTATGTAATACCGATTATTCCACTCATGTGTAAGAAATCTCATTTTTCAGAATTACAGCGAAAATTCTCTTTTCCATTTGTTTAGCTAGAGAGAATTACAGCGATTATACAACTCACTGTACATTATTCCCATATGACACGAGAGGCTTAAGAAGTGATAAGCCTTTTGGGATTATCTCGCTTGGTGGCATTTATAGAAAATTCTATTAAGTATAGCAATTTTTTTAAATTATATAAAGTATTAAAGTTTAGTTCGTTGTATAACCTTTTGAATACCACTCCATGTTTCAGGATTACCTAATACTTTTACCTGACACTCAACGCATTACCAGCAACATCACTCCTCCATCGGAGTCGTGGTGTTGCTGCGTAACGCGTTTCGTGACAGGTAAAAGTATTATCCGGTAATCCTAAAACCTCTTGTGGTATTACATTCGATAATTCTCCCATGTTATTCTATACATGGTTGTCATGCTAAATTTTGATACAAACAAACGGTTCCTGATAGCAACCATTTATTTGTATTGATTGTTAAGATGTTCAAATCGTCTAATACATATTTATTTCCATATTTTTTGCATTCTCATACGTGAAATAATCCTCTAAATAACACTTGAGCTTAAAAATGAACCAGATAATTTTTCACTTATGCGTGTTTTCTCTGCAAATTATAGAAAACACGCAATCGTGAAAAATTATCGGTAATTTTGAAGCTTTCGTGGTATTATTCCCGAAAACACCAACAATCACATTTATTAAAAGCTCTTACATGAAGCTCAATATCGGAGTTTCCTTAAAAACCACCGTGTATATTTACAAAAATCTCATAATAGCTCTATTTGTATACGCTAACAGCCATCTATCCCATTTTATTATATTGATAATATGTCTTTATTACAAAGCATTATCTTGCATTTTTTGGGATTACACCTCTATGGATTTTGTTTTTTTCTTTCTGGTGAAAATCTCCATCTCCATGCATCACGTTTAAGTGAAGTTTGGCAAAACGTACCTACGCTTCACGCATTCGTCCCGCATCGCAGGGTCTCGGATTTCCCACTGCGATTCCCACCTTCGATGCCCGACGACCGATTATAAAAGGAGGCGCGCGTCCATAAACGGAGACTCTTCTTCTTCTGTTTCAGGTACCAGCAGCCCAGACCACCAGCGCCTAGACCACCGACCACCGACCACCGACCACCGACCACCGACCACCGAGGTGAGCGCCGGCTTGGATTCCGCTCTGATGTCGTCAGTGCCGTCGCGACGCCTCATAAAATCGTAGGATCTGGGTGAGTGGGACCACTTTTTATACAGTGGTGTACACGGACTGAATGGGGTTTCGGCCCTATTCTGTCTGTGACCGACAATGGGGGTTACGTGCTGGACCGTTTACAGGGTGGCACCCGTTGTCCTTATATCGATGTATATTGAGTATTCCTCACTTCACACAGATCGTTTCTTGTTTCTTTCATGCACGTGCATGATGCTCTTTCTATACAGGGGGATACACGGATTGAATGGGGTTACGTGCTGGACCGTTTACAGGGTGGTCCTATTCTTTCTGTGACGGACATGAGGGGGTTACGAGCTGGACCGTTTACAGGGTGGCTCTCTCTGTCCTTATGCCTTTGTATACTAAGATACGTCATGCACCCCGCACCGATCGCCTAAAAAGGCGAAATCACCGGCACTGACGGCTGAAGGAGCTGGATTTCCCGAGAGTGGACCTGCAGAGCTTTTCTTCCCCGCGTACCGTTACCGTCCCGCGTAACCGTTCCGTATAAGCTTTCGCGTCTACCGCCGCATAACCTAAAAGGCACGCTAGTATTCGTTTACACACTCGCTCTCTCTCTCGTTTCGTTATTCCGTCAGTTCATTAATTATTCTTTTAATCATTTTCCATTACGTATTGCATCTATTATTTTTGACGTAATAAACTTAATTTGTTAGTTACCTTTCTGTGTTTTTCATTTTGGGGGAAAATGCGCATATTGACCTCTGGTTTTTCCGTCTCCAACTGTTTAAAAGCTACCTAGAGCACGTGGGCCTTTAACCACATAAATCCTAAGGGTGGCGCCCGAGTTTTCCGAAAATTCCGAAATCAACCGCTTTCTCACCGGAAAACCAAAGTAGCGCTACACCTTCAACGTTCAACTTTGGTTAGACAGAGTTTAGTTTTTATTTTTTTAGCACTTAATATATACAATGTGCGTCTATTCTATAGTTACAATGTGCAATATTGCAGTACACAGTAGTAATGTAGTAATGTTTAAGTTTTTTCACTGATCTCAAGAGTCAAGAGTACAAATACATAGGTATAAATATTTTTTATTTCCTTAGTATTTATTTTTCAAATGCATTATCGAATAAAACAAGCTTACTTTTCAAAATTTTGTTTTTTTTTCAATAGATGCAGGCAATTTTATTTATTTTTTTTGTTTTTGCAAACATTCCTTCACATTCCCAATTTTAGGGAACGTTCCTGGGAATGTTCCCGGGAACTTTCCCAAAAAACACTTTCCCGGGAATTTGCCCATCACTATGCACACATAACCAGCGTTGTTTGGTTTTTGGGATGTTCTAGGCATATGGCGAATATTAGATTTCCATCCCACTCTCTCTTGGAAAAAGTTCGAGATGTTTCGAATCGATTCCACAATCAGAACAATATTAAGTATATTCCTAATAGACCCTGCCCTGAAATAGGGACCAACAGTAGAGAATTTCATACATCTGTCAAAACTGACATGTTTTGATTGTTGATTTGAACCAATCGGATTGGATTTGCACTAGTGCAAATTATCGGATAAATTCATAGTAACTAGTGACATTTTTTGACAAAAAAATTTTTGATTCATGAAATTCTCTCATAAAATACAACCTTAATGTCGTGCAGCTAGTGAAACCCAAGGTCACAATCCAGGAAATACAGTCAAAGTTCAGGCATTGAAGCAAACAGCTTCGAAGGAAAAAAAGAAGCTTGACGTATTGCAGAGAAGTGGTGTTGGATTTGATGATGTGAGTAATAAATCGGTATCTAGATTGATACATACCTACTATAATTTCTTTTTATGTCAATATTTAGGATTTTGTGGAACCAACTTTATGGTATTATAGTATTATCATCTTCATATTTGAGGATGCTGAGCTAAGAATGGCCATTGACTCTTTTGACTATGATGATAATATGGAAAGAATGGAAAGCACTACTGAAAATAGCCAGGCTGGTACAAGTGGAACTGAAAACCAGAGTTCAAATAATCAGGAGGATGAGAAAGAGATTATTTTGATGGTGCCAGAATATTTAAAATTTATATGAATCCAACTTTTCAAAAAAATTACTGTGATAAACATGAATGTGTCTATAGCACCAATAAAATTACTATCAATTACAACTAATTCAAATGGCAGTTCCCAACAAAAAATAAATTACTGGTAATTTATTTTTATAAATTGATAAATTCCATCACTAAGCTCAGTATTTGAAGAAAAAGTTTAGGGTTTTCCAAGTATTGGGTCACGACCAGGTGAATCTTCTGGGAAAAACCGTTGTTATTGGTTAATCTATGCAGGATCACTATTCAAGTGCCAATATTTACTTTAATGGGCATAATTTTATTATTATACCTAGATATGTAGGTTTATTGTCACTGATAGCATACAGTTTCAAGAAAAAGCACAAAAAGTGGAATTTTTAAAAAATGCAAAAATGTCCAAGAAACACTTTGAATAGGCAAAAAAACAAACAAAAAAAAAACTAGAAATAAGAAGGAAAGAAAATAGGTACCTACCTATAAAAAACTATTGTTGAATTTTTGTTTATGTTCTACATTGAAGAAGACGGAAATACCTGTGCTATTTCTCCTGGAGAAACGAGGCCCCAGTCCACTGATCTCCCCCAGTCTAGTTCTAATTCAAAAGCTGTCCAAGCCCAAACACCAGCAAGACGACCTTCAGCGTTTTCTAATTCGTTGAGGTCAATCTCAGGCGCACCAAAGGACTAGCGAAAAAGGAAGACGACTGAGGAAGATCCCCCCGATGTTGGGTCAAGTATTCTGTGCTCTATTCAGCATAAGCAAGAAGCTTGGAGAGAGTTACACCCAAGAAAAAAGAGATGTAAAATCCAGCAACCAGATTTTTGTATTGTAAGTGGCTGCCAAAATGGACCAGCTCATAGATGAAGATATCAGGGATTATCTGAAGGCAAACATTATCCTGCTCCCTAACAGTGCATTGAGGGCATGCAGGATGGAACGTTGATATTTTGAAAATTAATGTGATATTTAAATAATTGAAGAAAAAAAAAACACAATTTACATTTTTTGGATTTTTTACTATTTTATTTAGTAATCCCAAGCCTAAATTAATAGTTATTTATACACCAAGTGAGTTAAATTATTTTTTTTTTCATGAGAAGAAAGTTTAACCCACGAGCCCTAGCGAGTGGGTTAATTTTCTTCGAATGAATAAAGATTTCAACTCACGTGATGTATACAAAATTTTATCCCATTTTGTGAAAATTTTGAAAATAAAGTAGAAGGAAAAATGCCGGGAGTGAGTTAAAAATATTTTAAATCACTGAGGTTTCAGATTTTTAGTTGGGCGGAGTGACTTAAAATGCCGAGAGTGAGTTAAAATGTTTTTAAATCACTGAGGTGATAAACGCCTACTTACCTTTATTGTTATGCGTTCAAAAATGGGATAAATTACATTTTATCCCATTTTGACGTTTAAAAATGACATTATTGAATGCATAATAACAAAGATAAGTAGACGTTTATCACCTGAGTGATTTGAAATATTTTCAACTCACTCTCGGTTTTTTAAGTCACTCTGCCAGTATAAAAATCTGCTACAAATACCAACAAACAACTAGTTATACCCTAGCAACCACCAATTTCAATTATTAGCGCTTTCATATACGTACTACTAATTTTTTTTTTTTATAATTTGATTCCTATTACTTTTTTTTTTTAAATTTCCATCAAAATGGGATAAAATTTTTAGCAAACATAAATTTATAATTTGAATTTTGTTTTGTGAAATGAAATACCTCATTGTATATTCAGTAATTATGTACTATTGTACTTACTTATGATTGTATACTAGTAATATGTACTTGTGCCATTTGATAGACCAGGCCGGTCCTCTAAATCCCAGCACTTCTGGTTTGGGGCAGTTTGCTTCGTAGGATCAGGCAGGTCCACATTGCTAGATGCGAAGTACACAAGATCTCATTTCGCAACTGACGACAAAACCACCAGCTCATCAGCCCCTGCTAAACAATTGCGGTCGTAGAAAAGCAGGATTTAAGTCCTGCTTTTGCCGCCACTGTACCAGTCAATCTTGTGAAAACCCACCAGACCTTATATTTGACGACATTGATGAATCACTAATCAATGATCCACCATTAAATGGCGATTTAGATCTTCCTGATCCGATCGATGAAGAAATGCTAACGGAGCAAGCTGCCCTAACAAGAAGTGCTGTGGATTTATAGGACCAGCCTGGTTTATAAAAGATGTACAACAATTAATTAATACACACATCACATGAGTAAGTACAATAGTACATAAGTCCTGAATATGAATATACATATGTATACAATGAAGTATTTTATATCACAAAAAAAAAATTCATAACAAAATTTTGTTTGATATAAATTTAAATGATCTATCTCATCAGCTTTGGTCAGCTGTATCTCAAGAACTATTAGGTCTAAAAAAAAAACAATTTAGTGACAGTGTCGTTTTGTTGGAAAATGATTCCTTCTTGATATTATATGATACTTTTGCCGTTAAATGGGTCCTTAGTGGTCAATATTGACAAACACTGAGAAAAAACTTTTTTTTTTTTAAATTATGCAAAACTTTAAGTTCCTGTATCTTAGAAACTATTTCACCTACAAAGACCAAATTCGTCATTTTTTTTTTTAATTTTGTTAACTTTCAAATTGTACATGACGACTATTGCCGCAACATCAGTCTTTGGTGCTCAAAATTGACAAAAAGTGGAAAATGGGTGAAAATTTAGTGGTTTTAGTAATATTTAAAATTTCGAGGTCGTTAACTCGGATTTATCATCAGGAAGTTCATCAGATACAGCACATCCAAAAATCAGAACTACCTCATTTCATGCTAGGTAACACGCCTTTTTTAGTACAATTTCCATGAACTATGTGGTCTCCGTATTATGATTAACACAAATATCAACTTGAAAAAATTCATAGGACATTTTTAAGATTTATTGCGTTCAAAATATAAATAAGGTATGATTCTATTAACTACAATGATCTCTGAAAACTTTTAAATATCCCGACTCTACAGCAAAGAAGAGACCAACATGATTTGTTTATTCTATATAAATTGATTAATAACATCATCGATTCACCTGAACTTTTATCATTTAATAGGTTTAAACACTCCTTGTAGTAAGATTAAAGATAATAGGCTATTTTATATTAAAAATCACCCTACTAATAGTTTTTATTCTCCTTTAACCATATTTTGTAGACTGGTCAATTCTGTGATAAATAATATTAATATAGATATTTTTAACAGTAGTTTAAAAAATCTGAAATAAAATCCATCTGGTCTTTTATATTGCAAGCTAGCTTCTATTGTCTTATTCTGTTTTACTGTTTCATTTTTTATTTGTTTATCATTGTTAAACCACTGGGGTTGTAAAAGAGTTAATTTTCTTAGAATAAGTTTTGTATTTAAGTTTATACATTGGAAAGGCTGCTTTCATTTCATTCCATTTTATTAATTCATTCATCATTAATTCATTCATTCACCACTGCAGCTTAGTTGAAAAAAAAAATACAACAACAAAAAGGTTACACTAAGCTGTGTTATTCTTTATTTTCATTATTGATCTTCAAGGCGTATACAAGTTTCGAGAAAACTTAAGCGTCATATTTCCTGTAAATTGCTTAATTAACAAAGTGTAATATTTTTTGAATAATGAATTTATACTTATTGTTATTGTTATTCATTTATTCATTCATTCATTCATTCATTCATTCATTCATTCATTCATTCATTCATTCATTCATTCATTCATTCATTCATTCATTCATTCATTCATTCATTCATTCATTCATTCATTCATTCATTCATTCATTCATTCATTCATTCATTCATTCATTCATTCATTCATTCATTCATTCATTCATTCATTCATTCATTCATTCATTCATTCATTCATTCATTCATTCATTCATTCATTCATTCATTCATTTTTTGTTTTGAATTTATCAATTGCCTTTTTCTACAGAAGTGTTTTGCCAAGGTACAGAGCCCAGTGGAGAATTGAAATAGTCGGTAAACTTTTCCCTAATATTTCTAGCAGAGATTGTTGACCTATTACCCAAGTTGCTGAACAACTTGTGGAGTTTCTAAACTTAAAGCAATTGCACCATTTTCAGTTTTTCTGTACTGTGCAGATTTGCTTGCCAGAAAATGATGTTCAACCACACAAGTCAAAGTAATAAGTTTAACTTTATCTGGACTTGAATGATTTTTTTGTAGAAGCACTCTCCAGTGGTTCACCAAAATACCAAAACCACATTCTGCCATTCGTCTAGCTCTTGATAGTCCATAATTGTAAATCTTATGTAGTGCCCTCTGTGGAAATGGTTTCATCAAATTGTCTGACAAGGCAAATGCATCATCAGCTACGATAGAGTACGGCACTTCATTTGTTCTACCTGGAGGGACCCTTGGAGGAGGTAATCCTAAACTATTATCACTCATTTTGTGGAATAATTTACAGGAACTAACATTTACATGGATGAAGTTGTAATTTGCATCAACAAGTCCTAATGACACAATACTTTCAGTTCCTTTATAGTTGTGATAATAGGATGCTGCTGATATAGGTGCACTAAAAGTACACTAAATGGCGATCATCCAATGCAGCAATACAATTTGGAAAATTGCACTTGCTTTCATAGTAGTGTGAAATTTGTTCCCATTCCTCAGATGTTCGAGGAGTCTGCAATCAAAGAAAAAAAAATAGGTAGCTACTCATCTTTAGGGAATACCTATATAAAAACTTTTGTTTAATTTTATAAGTCCATATCCTTACCTTCAAATAAATTACTTTTAAATGGTTGTATATTGCTTTACAAGTTTCTGGCACAATTTTGGAAATTGTGCTTTCATGAATCCTTGTGCTATACATTAGGCTCCTGTATGTTTGTCCAGTTGCAAGAAAAGGCAGGGTAACATTAAGTCTAAAAGCAGTAAAATAAATAAATAAAAATGAAAGTATTACTAGCACATAAAGAGTTATACAATACAGTTTATGTACCGC